GCGGCGCGGGACAAGGGATTTGCTGGCCGCCGCTTCCCGCAGCCCCCATTGGCCTGAAGCGGCGAGCCACGGCCAGCGGGAGCCGCAATCGGCCGAACCTGCGGACCCGGCAGGTAAACAAACCAGCCCGGCCCGCCAGGGGTTTCCCCAAACAAGCGGTGGCCCCAGTTTCAGAGCCACTGCTCTAGCAGTATGAATGCTTCTTGCTACCTCTGGCAGAATAAATACTCTCATCACCTCCTTCTGCAGTGTGTATGCCCTTTCACTAGCTCCATCAGTATGCATTCATACAGCGATCCGAATTCCTGAAGCAGATCTTTTCCTTTTGTAGAGCTTTAATAACAAGAAACGTTTTCAAATTCTAGAAATGGACACATCAGCTCTTCATTATCCCTTTGATGGGGCTGTCAAGTAAATCTCTTTATTTGAATTTTCTGAAGTCATTCAATTCACTACACACACGTATTGCTGTAGTGATACAGTATTTAAGTGACTGTTCTCTGTTGGTGGGAAGTGGGGAATTTCTGAGTAATCTTTGTGTAAAACTTAAAGTTGCTGAGAAGCTTAATAATTTCTTTGCATCAATCTTCACTACAGAGAGTGCTGGGGAGACATCTATCCCTGACCTATTCTAAGTTAATAAAGGTGAGGTACTCTCAGAGATTGGTGATGACAGAAAGAGATGTACTGAAATAAATCAATGATTTAAAAACCAGAAAGTCATCCAGTCCAGATGGTGTATATCCAAGAATTCTGAAGGAGCTCATGTATTAAGTGGCTTAGCAGGATAAAAGAGAACTGGTTGACAGGTTATTTAGACTTTCAAAAGGCCTTTGATAAGGTACCTTACAAAAGGCTATTAAAGAAGCTAAGTCATTATGCGGTGAGAGGCAAATTATTGTCATAGATCAAAAACTGGCTAAGAGATAGGAAACAAAGAGTAGGAATAAATGGTAAATTTTCATTGTGGCAAAAGGTTAACAGCAGGGAGCCTAGCGGTTCTTTACGAGGTCAGGTGTTATTAAATATATTGAATTATCTGGAATGAGATGAATAATGAAGTAGTAAAATTTGTAGAAGACACAAAGGACCTTCACAAAATAGAGAATTAGTCTGAAAACAAGAAGATATAAATCAATAAAGACAAGTGCAAAGTACTACGTTTACGAAGGAAAGAATCAAATGCACAACTATAAAATGGGGAATAACTGGCTAGGTGGTAGAATTCCTAAAAAGGATCTAGGGGTTATAGTTTATTACAAATTGAATATGAGTCAACAATGTGATGCTGTTACGAAAAAGGCAAATATTCTGGGGTGTATTAATTGGAGTGTTGTATGTAAGACCTGGGTGCTAATTGTCCTGCTTTACTCAGCACTGGTAAGGCCTTTGCTGAAGTATTGTGTCCAAGTCTGGGCACGACACTTTAGGAAAGGTGTGGATAAATTGGAGGGAATCCAGAGGGTAGCAACAAAAATGATAAAAGATTTAGAAAACCTGACCTATGAGGAAAGGTTAAAAAAACTGGGCATGTTTAGTCTTGAGAAAAGAAAACTGAGGAGGGACCTGATAACAGTCTTCAAATAGATTAAGGGCTGTTATAAAGAGGACAGTGATCAGTTGTTCTCCATGTCGACTGAAGGTAGGACAAGAAGTAATGGGCTTAAGATGGAGGAAGGGAGACTTAGGTTAGATAATAGGGAAAAGTTTCTAACTAAAAGGGTAGTTATATTCTGAAATAGGCATCCAAGGGAGGTTGTGGTATCCCCAACATTGGATGTTTATAAAAACAGGTTGGATAAACACCTGTCAGATCTAGGTTTATTTGTTCTTACCTCAGCGCAGGAGGTTGGACTTTTGATAACCTCTCAAGGTCCCTTCCAACCCTACATTTCTATTAGTCTATAAAGTTATTTAGGTTAATCAAGTCCAGAGAGGCCTGTGAGGCACTTCACAGAGACCTAACCAAGCCAAGTGAATAGGCAACACAATGGCAAATGAAATTCAGTGTTGTTATATGCAAAGCAATGTACATTTGAGTGAAAAGTTTAAACCACTCATACATCTTACAGCATTCCAAATTAACTGTATCAACTCAGGAAAAGGTCCTCCATATCATCGTAGATAGCTCAGTGAAGGCCTCAGTTCAATGTGGTGCTAGAGTGACCAGATAGCAAGTGCGAAAAATCGGGACGGGGGGCGGGAGGGAGGAGTGTGACGGGTTGGATCACAGAAACCCCCTTGGGAGCTGCCATCTAATGTACCAAGACTACTTCTATTCCTGTTTTCCCTGCCAGCTCAGGACTCCAGCACCCTGTCTTGCTAAGCCAGACGCTCCCGTCTGCTCCAACACAGACCCAGGGTCTGAATTTCTTGCCCCAAAGCTGCAAGTTTACCTGAAAAGAGCTCACAGAAGTGTGCTTGTCTTTAGCACTCAGATGCCCAACTCCCAATGGGGTCCAAACCCAAATAAATCCGTTTTACTTGGATTTATACAGGGTAAACTCATAAATTGTTCGCCCTCTATAACACTGATAGAGAGATATGCACAGTTGTTTGCTCCCCCAGGAATTAATACATACTCTGAGTTAATTAATAAGTAAAAAGTGATTTTATTAAATACAGAAAGTAGGATTTAAGTGGTTCCAAGAAGTAACAGACAGAACAAAGTAAGTCACCAAGCAAAATAAAATAAAATGCGCAAATCTATGTCTAATCAAACTGAATACAAATAATCTCACCCTCAGAGATGCTTCAGTAAGTTTTTTCTCAGACTGGACACCTTCCAGGCCTGGCCACAATTCTTTCCCCTGGTACAGCTCTTGTTCCAGCTCAGGTGATAGCTAGGGGATTCTTCATGATGGCTCCTCTCTCCCTTTGTTCTCTTCCACCCCTTTACATATCTTTTGCATAAGGCGGGAACCCTTTGTCCCTCTGGGTTTCCACCCCCCCCCCCCACTGGAAAAGCACCAGGTTAAAGATGGATTCCAGTTCAGGTGACATGATCACATATCACTGCAAGACTTCATTACCCACTTGCCAGCACACATGTATACAGGAAGACTCACAGGTAAACACAGCCATCTGCAGACAATGGTCCTGGTTAATGGGAGTCATCAAGATTCCAAACTACCATTAATGGCCCACACTTTGCATAATTACTATAGGCCCTCAGAGTTATATTTCATACTTCTAGTTTTAGATACAAGAGTGGTACATTTATACAAATAGGATGATCAC